GGGCTCTGTGGATGTAAAATGCAAAACGGAATTATGCACAATTATTTTGGCATTGGCTGTTTCTGGCCCCGCTTTCCATGCAATTTAATTGGCGGCGGTTAACAGGAGCAATTATAGGACCGCAAGGAGGCAATCTTGAAGGACTCGCCGCAACAAAGGACCTAGAAATAGGTGGGTTGTGGAATTAAACGGGGGAGGTGGGATATGAGCAGGGTTGTCAAAGTTTTCGAAATAACCCGAAGGTTGCCAAGTGGCCATGTAGGGTCTTTTCAATTATAACAGTTTTCAATGGAGATAAACGAACATTGCGGTCAGAAAAACAAGCAAATTAATTAACGCAATCAGTTCGAAGGCACTTATCTTATTTAATATTACTTTCTTTGTTTTCCTTAATTATTTATTTGATGACTGGATTATCGCGAAGACTTATCTGGCTTTATGTATACTGTATTTCTGTCCCCACTTGACTTGCACTTGCCTTTTAATTTGTTCTCTCATTGCATGCTCAAGTGGCTTTTCCCCAACTATTTTCTCCCACCATTTTCCACCCAGTGTCCTCTTGCTAATTGCGCTTATTACGCTGACAAGAACGGCAAGCGAGTAAAATAAAATATGTATAATATGAGAGGGGAAAGAAAATAAAATCTGAAATGAGCAATCTAATGGTTTGTGGCCATATCGTATGTATGTTTTAGTGTCCCTTTTTTCTGTCATTGACATGCACGAGAATATTTTATTGTTGCATACTTAGGGACTCCCCTGCATTTCCCTTCGCATTTTCCTCTATTCTTGTATTTTCTCTTATTAACTGTTGCAACTGCGCTGCTTTTGCTTCTTGACTCGCGAAAAATGTCTGCAAGTGCATAATTATCGGTTAGTAGTCACCGCATCGCTAGAGAATCGACATTCGCGGCTTTATTCCTCAAAGATATTTGTATTTTGTTCTAAATATTTTTTGACAATGTTCAATATTGAAATATTAAAATCAGAGAGGGATTAACTAACAACTACCAACGGTACGTGATGATATGTTTGAGAAAACTTAAACTAATTGGAATCATAGTGTTTCTTAAAGGATACAAACATATACGTTTTCAGTGTGACCAGTTCAATTGTTTTTTATGTGACCATGCTAACGATACTAAGTTCAAATTAAGGTTATTTTGCATGTCAATTAGTTTTCTGAACAAGATAACTAATTTCTCATATTATTCATTATTTTATAAAACTTTTAAAAGGCACGATTTTGCCAATTATATTTAAATTTAACCGACATGACGTGCTTCTTCAACCTGAGCCACAGATTAGCTGGCTTCATCGGGAAAAAGCCACATCGCAACCCCTTTGCAGCTGGGAAATTTGCAATTCCATTGCTTCGGCTGTCAGATGGCAAAAGTGAATTGGCTGCGGCTGTAAAATAACCAGACAATCTCTTGTTATTCCCTGTTATTTCCCTAGGCCAGCCATGCTCCAAATTTGATTGCGACTTTATGACAGATTCGGATTCGGATTCTGATTCAGATTCCGATTCAGTAACGGCAGCTGCTTCACTCGTTGCATTATGCAATGCCTGCAGTATGTGAAGCGTTTTTGGGGGCGGTCTACAGCCAATGGAAATTTGAGACCAAAGCTGAAAAAGCATTTATTATAAAAAGTATTTCGCATGTTTGTCATTTTGAGAACCAAAATAAGACCGTTTCATGTTTCATGAAATCGGAAAACAAATTAACTGGCTGTGTACAGTAAATATATCACATTTACATCGTTAAAGTACCGCACTTTGAGAAGGAAATTATATGGTAGAATAAATATCGTATTTATGTGGCTTCTGCTCACCACTTTTTTTTCCTCAATTTTTATCCAATAGTTGATGAAGCACCCAAAATTCAAATTAATATTCACAGCAATTATTTCACAAAGAAAAATATTAAAGTTGCAATTTGGCTGTGCGTTTTTCACAAAGAAATTTACAATAAAAAGAGAAATATCTGCTAACCCAGTTGTCATTTATTCATTTTTCAGAGAATGTTTTCCATTATACTCAATATATAAGAAAAAAAATCCGATAAAAATTAGCCCTTCATAACTGTTGAATGGCAATGAGAAATATGTTCCTGATAATTTTGTCACTTCGCTTTCATATTTATGAATTGAGTGTCATACACATGCCAACCGACTTTCCCCTTGAAAGTCTAACTGATATCAATCTTTAAATAAAATGTCTACACCTTTACCTTTTTTTTCGATTTACTTTTCTCTTTCAAGTTGAATAAACTGTTCTTTTAACCGCCAACAAGCGATAGCAAGTGGAATGGGAAAGTGAAAACACATTTATCTCGATTTTCACGCTGTCAGCAGCAACTCAAAAAGGCGACAGTTTGTGAAAAAAGCACAAAATAAATAAAACAAAAACCGAAAAAAAAATACATATATATAAAGGCGGCTGGGACCAAAGCAAACCAAACCCTGCACAAAGTCAATTTCAAGATTTATTTTTCGCAATTTAACATTTCTGTTACGCCTGTCAGCCGGGAAAACAAAACAAAAGCCGGGGAAAAACAAACCGAAAACCGCCGAAAAAACCAAAGAAATTCTGGAGGGCGGGACGGTACGCCCAAGCAGAAGGTGAATGCGGTTAAGAAAATAATAATAAATTAAAAGCTTGTGCCCCTCAGCCGAAAGGTCAAATAATTTCAATAACACAAAAAAAAAGGAAGGAATCTGTGTCCTTACGCGATTTGGAATTGTAATGAAATGCCGAAGGCAGTGACAAAAAGTTGAAAAGGTGCAATCAAAAACAGTCGACTTGGAAATACCTGAGGAAATGTATTAATATAGTCTTTAAAAAGGTTTTTTAAACATTCGATTTGTTAAAAAATCATAGTATTATTAACGTGATTATAAAATTGAACATACTCTTGGCATTCATATATATATTTCATATTTAAAAATGTTGCTGCCAATCATTTCAAGTCTCTAATAATGCTGTATTCTTTAAAATCCTTGTTATATTTCAACATACATTTTAAATACATCGAAAGCCCATTCAAACAGATATACCCCGCTGGCCAAGTCGATAAGGTCGAAGGACAAGTTGAAAATTTGGTTTGCCCGATGCCATTTTAAGTATTTTCAATTTCGGCAGCCAAGATGGAACTTGCCACGCCCCCCGCCCACTGCCTTTGTACTCGAATTTATTCGACCCCGAGGGTCAATATGCAGAGAAGTCGCGTCCAAAAGTCGAAAAGCAACGCGAAATTCGTGTATGTTCCACGCAAAAGTAATCAGCGAGCAGTTGTGCCCCGCCTTCCCTTCTTCCTTCTTTTTTCATTAATAATAAATTAGGAGCACACCGGAAACGGAAATGCGCGTTGGCAGGCCGCCCAGAGCCAACTTTATTAGTTTAGTCTTTTTCGCCGCTTTTTGCCCGGGGAATATGCGGAATTAGAAAGAATTCATTTTTGCATTTTTCAAGAATTAAATTCCGCAGATTTTGCCCCTTGGTGTTTGCAATATATTCTTTCTTTATTTTTATTTTCTGTTGGGGGGGGGTCTTCTGCCTTTGTGCTCACATGGGAATCCAATTAAATGCTTTGCTAATCCACAGAAAAGTGGGGAAAATCACAGAAAATCTGCGCTCGCTTCTGCTGTCGGCTGCTTAAGTCAATAGAGTAGTAAATGAAGCCTCAGTCTTATCAGCCAACTGCCATCGTCCTGGATGCCAGAAGTACATTGGGAAAAATTTGAGCTTCTTCTAAGAAATAATTAGGCTTTTTCAACTCTTGCATGATTACGAATGTTGTTATTGAGAAAACCTTTACTGCATTGAAGTTACATTTTGAGAAGTTATATAAATTTAAATTAATGTTTCGTTTTGCTAGCCATTTAATAAAATAATTACAAATTTTTGATATATGAATTGGGTTTTTGAAACGACAATAAATATATTGAAGATCAAGTTGGAAAAACATCAACAACAAGTCCTAAAAATGTCTGAAATCCAGCTTTTGAAAAACCTTAAATGCAGCCAAAGTGGAAACCCATTTCTCTCCATACAAATCGCAATCTCCGTTTCTCTGGTTAGTCACAGCTTAAAAGCTTGGCTAATAAAAACTGGAATTATGCGTGAGTGTGTGCCAGGACATGAAGCAGATAGATGTAGATGGTAGCTCGGATGGAAATTGTAGATGAGAACTCAGACAGAGATGAAAATGGAGATGAAGATGGGAATGTTTCCCTGTTGCTGGGGGCAATTAAACGATAAGCGTAATCTGCTTTGTCAATTCACACAAAATGCGTAAAGTCGTCAGTCGAGGAGGATTTCAATTAGCCAGCACAAAAATTCCAACCATCCAGGCAGCACTATCCTTTGCGCATATTTTCATGGCCCACACACACACACACACACACACGACATACTATATACACATATATGTATATAGTACACATATACTATATATAGTGGAGAGTCGGAAAAGCGGAAAAGTGGGTGGGCCACTAAGTGTGGCCAATTAGCACAAAGACTGGGGAAAGTGTTTCCGTTTAGCAGATGAGGAAAGCGAGCACCTCTCAAGTGACAATTTGCTTAGCGCTTCAATTTGGTTGCGAGCCGAGGGCCAAGTGGCGAGGTGGAAAAGTGTGGGGGCGGTGGGTGGAAAAGCGGCGGGTGGCGTGTGGCGGGTGGCAGGTGGTGACCTCGACCAACAATAACCTACATGCCACCGCAGCGTCGCACTTTTCGAGCTAGAAAACCGTCACAAAGCACTTGTCAACTTGATAATACAATATGAATAACTAGAAACTATCATGAGAATAAATGGTTCTATAACTCGAAGTCTTTTTAAACCGAACTAATTTTGGTGGCAGATGGTGGTTCAAGTTATGGAATTATTGGATATTATAAGGTCAAACCGTTTAAGCTATACAATAATTTTTCGAATATATCATTACCCATTTGGAGAACTCTCTTTTCCCGATCTGACCTATCCGAATTTTTGCAGGGTTCTATCACGCAAACTAAAGCCACATCTTGTTGCGGACACCGTTAAGCAGTATATAAGTCGGGCCCAACGCACAACCAAAAAGGGTTCTCAAGAGCAGCAAAATATGGAGTTTTTACGCGGCGTCTATGCGTTTATGCAAGTGAGTAGATCATCGGTGAGTGTCCACTTCCTTTGTAACAACCGTACTAATCCATGTGAACTTGCTCTACTTTTATACCGCCTTTGGTTGATTGATTGATTATACCATACCATACTCTACTCTACTACTACAACTCAACTCGAACTCAAACTCTAAATCAAACCAATTATATCTCTAAAACCAAATCGATTTGAGTCACAAATCGAACAAAAAAAACCGCAAAACGAAAACGCAAAGCAAAAGCAAATCGAATATGTTACCACTACCTTCTACTACCTATTTATTTATACTACTACTCTACTACTACCACTCTTATAAGCGTAACTAATGAGCCAACTAAATACCAAATACGAAAGACAAATAAGCCGAGAGTATCAAATGTATCTTACACTATATACTGACCCCCCCTCCTCAAAAAAAAAAAAGAAAAAAAAAAGACAATAAGAAAACCCGATTTATCCCATGTGTAAACTTCGGAGCTCGACAAATGCCTGTGGACCGTCGTAATTTGGGGGACCAACCCCATATAACCATCGTCGAGTAACAATGCGAAAAGAAATACCAAGCCCAGACCATTCCATTCCAGTCAAAAGTAATACTCGTCCCACCACTTTACTTTTACTTTTCCCCCACCATTCATTTCGTTTGTGTTTTGAGTTTAGTGGCCATGACTTTTTAACCATTGCCATTCCATATAACCCGGCCCCTAGATGATAACAATAAAGCGAAATGCAAATGAAAGTAACAACAACCAGAATAACAATACTCGTAATAATGTACTTACCGTGAGCACATTCCTTCAAAAGATCACAACAAAAGACAAAAAAACAAGAAAACAAAAAAACCAAATGAACATTCACAAGAAAAGGTCATCTAAAACCAGAGAAAAAGAACGCAGAAAAAATGAAATTAATATGCAAAACATTCATCAAGTAGGATTATTTTCAACATGAAAAAAACAGCGGCGGGACAAAAGATGATGACGTCTCTTTCTCGCCCCCTCTATTGCCGTCTCTTTCGGGCGTTGCAAATTCTCATTGAGAGCCATTCTGAGCCCATTGTCCATTAATAACCATTGTCCATCCAACATATTCCCATCGCTCTATCTCTCTCGGACTATCTCTCTCTTTCCAACACACACACACACAAAATATACATGTCTCTGTCTCTACCTCTCTCTCTATCTCTCTCTCTTTCTCTCTGTCACTCTGATTGCGTCTCTTTCTGTGTTGAATTTGATTATTGTTTGTAATCGGCTGTGTAAATTATTGATTAGCTTATATGTCTATGAAGTCTATGAATATTACCGTAATCGTTACTGTATCTATGTCTGTCTCCCTCTCGCTGTTTGTGTGTTTGTTTGTGTTTTTTTAAAAAACAAAATTTTTAAGCGATTTTTCAGTTAAGCTCTATCTCAAGAACTCCCCCGATTGTGTGCGTGTTTATACCTAAGAACTCTGAACACAAACTAAACACTCTTACATAACTCTTAGCCCCTGAAAGCCCCTTGCTCCGAAGAAGTTTTATATAGGGTTTTGAGACGATCTATGTAATTAAAACCCAAACAAAATGCTTTATATATTCTATACCGAACGAACCTCTAAAACCGAAATGAAACGAACTAAAAATCGAATGTGCCCGCCACGTGAAGGTCGACTACAGCGGAAACGGATACGGAAACGGCAGCGGCGGCTATGAGGCAACCCTGACAACCCTGCCCAGCGACAACCCAGAGCCGGCAGCGATAACCGGAAGCGGAAACAACAACGCCATATCGATAACCGATAACGACAAGGAGGCAGCAGACGAGGCAGCCGCAACAGCAGCTGGGGAAGCTGAGGTCCTTTGGCCAAATTCAATAGCCTGCTGCAGTTCCACCACTATCAGTACCACTAGCAGTGCCAGTGCCAGTGCCAGTGCCAGTACCAGCACCAGTTCCAGTTCCAGATCAGATCCTGCCCAGAAGAGAAGGTTACCTGGTACAAAAACAGCGGCGAACAAAATCAGAGACAGTTGAGAGTGCGGCAGTAATAATGGGCATCGGTGCCAGATGCGGTGAATTTCAAGCAAGAACTATGAACTACGATCGAATAATGCTAACGAATGTGATAACTCGTATGTACATATAGCCACGTATATATCCAAGTATATAACAAAAAATATTTACAAGCGAACTGCAAAACCGAATCAAAACCAAAAATCGAAAACGAAACGTGACGCGCGATAACTTAGCACCACAGAGCAACTAAAACATGTAAAAAAAAACCCAAAATCAAAAAATATCTAATCGTAAAATCAAACGAAAACAGGGCAACTCGTGAAAAGGTGGCCTTAGCTTGTGCGACTGAACAAACAAACCAAATCAATTCATCGATTAACGATAACCGATAAGCAATAAACCGATCAACGAATCAGCTGTCAATCGAATGAATAGCGATATCCCGAAATCGAATTAATAGCGATATCCCGAAAACGAAATCAAAAGCGATCTCAACGCAAGCGGCGGCGGCGGCGATAACAATTATCGATAGCCGATAGTCTGGCTCTGAACCACTGCTGGCGGTGTGTGTGTGTGCGTGCGTGTGTGTGCGGTGCCGCCCACGCGGCCACGCCCATCCATCCCCACCCCCCGCCAAGAGCAAAGTGATAGAAAATGGTAATTACAAATCAAGCAATTCTAGTACTCATTTTAAAAACTCACCAACCACTCTCCACCCGCTCCCCAATGACTATCGAAAGTATCGAACTTCAGCTCGGTTTCTCTATCGAGCTCCCTCATAGGGACCTATTGCTCTCTCTGTCTCTCTCACCAGTCCCGCCCGCCCCGTCTCTTACTCTATTTGTCTCTCTTTTTTTCAAACCACACTTGATCTGCGCCTTGTTTTTGCTTATAAATATTGCATATATATAAATATATAATTATACTGTAGTTGATTAGCTCAAATTATGCTTTTTGATCTATCGTTTTCATTGTATTCGTTAATGAATTATGATTTTTAATCCCAATTCCCCATGCCCAATGTTAGTTAAAACATTTTTTCGGTTCACGTTTTCTTAACTTTGCTTTGGCTTTGTCAACTCTATCCGTCTCCTTCTGTCTCTCTATTTATCTCTTTTCTTTATTTTGTAGCGATTTTAAGTCTAGTAGAGCGCGATTACAGGATTCCAGGTTAAAGAACAGATAAACCCAGAACAAAAACAGAACAAATCAGGGGATGCAAATTCCAAAATGAATAATCGATATTTTATCAAAAACGCAGCCGCACCGCGCCGAAAAAAAAAAAAACGATAACCAAAACCTTAACCCGACGATAACAGATTGCTCGCCTGCCACCACAAAATATGCTGTCAACGTCTACGTAAAAATTAAAATAATAACAATTTGTTACGAAAAACGAAAAAATATGAAATGGTCAAGCTGAAAGCCAAATCAAATTTAATACAAAATGAAGTTTGTATCGATTTCTACGCCCTAACCCTACTTGTGTCTCCTTCTCTCTCTCTCTTTCTCTATTTCGATATATCTCTGTCTCTCTTTAGTAACTATGACACACTCACACAGTTACAGACACACATACACACGCAGACTTTGTAAAAGTATAGTAAAGTGTTGCGAGTGCCTGGCGATAACCGATAAACAATCACGATAAACATAACGACAACGAAAAGCTGGCAAGAAAACGAAGAAAACGATCAGCCAAGGTTAACTTTTTCAGTTGATTACAATTATGATTTTCCACATCTATCAATAACGATGACTATTTATGCGTATGTAACTAATTAAGTAGGTCAACCAAATGCAATCGAAGCAATCGATAACTGTACCCAAATGCTATCGCAGAGCAGGCGGATGTGAGGATCCCGATGAAGACTGCAAGTCTGAAAACCAAAGATACCCTTTTCAATAGCTCTATTGCCGCGTATATGGTGTTCTGTGTAAATATATATATATATATATTTTGCCAAAAATCGAACGCGACTAAAAGACGTAAAAAAAAAAATTAAAACGAAACACATAAAAGCAAACTTGAAATTGAGCAAACTTGAAACAATCCTTCCATGTGGATCAATTATCGCCAAGAACCAAAAACAAAACCCCTCTGTATCTCTCTCTTTGCCGCTCTCTCCGTCTCTCTCTTTCTCTATTTAACTCTCTCTCTCTCTCTGAGCCCCGTACCTAAAGTCTAGATAAATAACCCTAACCTTTCTCGAAATTTGATAAGAAAAACAGAAAGCAAAAGTGCCCTATGATTCCCAACCAAAAATTTGTTGACTCCACACCGCGCACACCCCCAGAATAAGCTTTTAATTTGAAACGATCTTTTTTGTTCCAGTAACGCCCTCAGTTCTCTCACCAACCCCGTTCTTTCTGCTGCCCCGCCCCAATCAAGTAGTTAAAGCCCCCAAAATAACCCCCTACAATACCGACAACCGAACCCAACATCCCAATAAAAAATAATAAAGCTACAACTTGCACGTGTCTTAAGCCGTAAACTGTACGCATCAACTCAATCAATTGCAGTCTCTTGTGTTCTATAATATGCATACTCGTATCTATACCCATAATGCTACTCGTACTGTACCAACTGTATAATTTGTTGTATTGTTTGCCGGATTTCCCCGTAGTAACTTGAGCGTAACGTACACGGAAATGTTTCGATCGGCAGATCTCAGTAAGCAAGCAAGCGGTGATAATACCCAACCATATACTGTAACGTATCGTAATCAATCAATATCTATCTCGTATTGCGGCATTTGTGGTATTGTATCCGTATTCGTAATATCAAGTGCAAACTACTTTAACTACCAACTAAGCCAGATATATATCAACGCACATATATGCTCTAGAATCGAATAAAATAATGTTAAACTCATTTTGCGAAATTATACACTCTGCAATTTAATTTTACCGCTTCATGACACACTTTTTTATTTAGAAATTGTCGATCACCAACTATTAATCGATTATTTCGATAATTTATTTATTTAAATTCTAATACAAATAGCCAGTGAAA